CGAGATGTTACTTCGCGAACCATGGCTACCGGAAAACACGCAAGCGATTCTCGCTACGGTGAGCTCCGTTTTGCTCACTCAACTAGCAGATTTAGCGGATCGAGTTATTGAGCGATCACAGCCACAAGCCGACGCCAGCAAGATCAACGCCGTCGCGTCCTAGGGCACTTCTAACACTGACTTACAGTCAAATTTAGAAGCCCTGCAAACACAAGTTGCGACACTTAGTCGCCAGGTCCAGCAGCTTACTATGAACCGTCGTCGTCATAGCCGCTCTAAATCGCCCTTCAAACGTTCTAAGTCTAGCAACAGGAAGGCCAGCTGTTGGTACCATCAGCGACTTGATACCGCAGCTCATAAATGTGTAAAGCCTTGCAACTTTGCCGAGAAGCAGGGAAACTTCTCGGCCGGTCCGTAACGGCGACGGACGCGACCGGCCAACACCAAAGTCGCCTCATCCGCGTTAAGGATTTAACTTCCGGCACCGAGTTTCTAGTCGACACAGGAGCCGAAGTTAGCGTTATACCCCGTAGCCCAGAAGAGGTCTCACCATCGCCGACCAAGCTGCGTGCCGCCAATGGCACATCAATCGCAGGTTTCGGCGAAAGGCTGCTAACGCTCAATTTAGGCCTCCGGCGAACCTTTCGCTGGCCTTTCATAATCGCTGCCGTGCCTTTCGCCATCATAGGCATAGACTTTCTTCAACGCTTCGACCTCATCGTCGACTCTAAAAGGAAGAAGCTTATCGACTCTAGGACACAGCTCAGTCTTATCAGGACTGGCATAACGTGGGTACTATCACTCCCATTCGTGTCCTATCTCAAGCTTCACAACCTTTTATAGAACTTTTCAGCAAGCATCCTAAACTCCTTCGCCTCTTGCACGACTTGCCTAATGTGACGTCAAACGTCATGCATCACATTTGCACTAAGTGCCCACTTGTTTCGGCCCGTCCTCGCAGACTAGCCCCGGACTAGTTAAAACCTGCTAAGGCGGAATTCGAACGGAATAATCCGCCCGTCCAAAAGTCTATGGGCATCACCGTTACACATGATACCAAAGAAATCTAGTGACTGGCGCCCCTGTGGTGACTACAGGGCACTTAACAAAGTTACAGTCCCGGATAAATACCCCATTCTGCACATGCACGACTTGACCTCAGCTCTAGCTGGTAAGTCTATCTATAGCAAAGTCGACCTAGTTCGCGTCTACCATCACATACTTGTCGCGCCAGACGACATTGCTAAATCAGCAGTCATCACATCATTCGGCCTATTCGAGTACCTCCTAATGCCTTTCGGCCTCAGCAACGCTGCCCAAACTTTTCAGCGTTTCATTCATGAGGTGACGCGAAGACTCGAAGGCGTTCATCCTTATCTAGATGACATTCTGACGAAGAACATCTTCATCAACTCGACGCTCTCTTTCAACGCTTAACACAGCATGGGGTTACCGTCAATCCCGATAAATGCGAGCTTGGTCAAAGCTCCATCGACTTTCTTGGCCATCGCATGTCCGCCTCTATTATCGAAGCTCTGCCAGACAAAATCCAGGCACTGAAGGACTATCCTACCTGTCTGGCCGCACCTACCGAGTTCGTGTAAACGGCGCACTCTCCAGCGCTCTGGCTGCAACGACCAGGGTGCCCCAGGGATCCATCCTCGGGCCCCTGCTGTTCAATTTGTTCATCAACGACCTCCCATCTTGTATCAGCAGCCACATACTGCTTTATGCGGACGACGCTAAGATATGGCGACCTATCCGCAGGCCAAGTGATCAGGCACTTCTCCAGACAGATATCGATGCTGCTTATTCTTGGGCCTCGAAAAATTCGCTCCCGTTTAACATCGACAAGTGCAAAGTCATGCACATTTGGCAAGGTGTGGCTAATCCGTACAATATCGGCGGTGTGCATCTTAAAGTCACATCCCAGGAACGCGACCTGGGGACCATAATATCCGCCGACCTGAGCCCGAGCGCCAATGTAGCTACACTGGCGCGAAAGGCTAGCGTTCGCCTGGCCCTCCTTGGACGTGCACTAGGGTCTTTCCCTAGAGAGACATTTGTCCGTCTCTATAGCACTTTAGTACGTCCGCTGCTGGAGTGCAACTTACTTGTCCAGCCGCCGTACCTGAAGAAGGACGAGGCCATGCTGGAAACTGTACAGCGCAGAGCCACTAAGAGAGTGGACGGACTATCCCACTTCTCGTATGAGGAGCGTCTGGCGGCCCTTAACCTCTTCCCGTTGAAATATCGCAGGCTTCGTGGCGACCTTATCTTAGCTTATTCCGTCCTGACTAATAACAGACACCCAAACGCAGGATTGCTGGTCCGCGCCCGTACAGATCATCTTCGAGGGCACTCACTCAAACTGATGACTCGTAGCAGTCGCCTTCTGTGCCGAAGAAACAGTTTCAGTGTGCGTACTGCCTTCGCTTGGAACGCCCTCCCCGAAGCTGTTGTCTCAGCGCCCAATACGGAGGCCTTCAAACAGCGCCTAGACGCTTGGTTCTTACCTCGCTGGTCTTCCACGTTGCTAAGATCTGGCCACTTGCCAAGCTAACACGCGGCGCTTCCATCATTTTGCTTCTATCCAACTTTGCCGAATTTACCTACACCACTCTCTTGTTTCAGGTATCCACGTTCCCACAATCAACTCGCTGAATTCTTGTGCTGAACACCACTACTGCGTCGAGACCCACAACATCTGTTACCTACCGACGAGATCAGGACCTTGCCGTAAGATCCCGAGGCAGAACCACCGAAAAGCTACGCTTACTCGTTCTGCGCAAACCTGTGAAACCCCGTGAAACAGTTACGCCGATTCCTTGGCCTGGTCAACTATTATAGACGCTAGAACAAAAGACCATCTGGTGAGCAAATGCTTTCAATGATTCATCGTCAGACCATTACAATCATATAGAGGCTAGAAAGAGAAATCGACCCAGTTAGTTCAAAACGAATTGATCACGTGAAGGTCAATGTCAGAGTGGAAAAAACGAATTAGGTCTTAGAGGGCTAGATGTTCGCTACCGCGTCTGACCGAAGGCAGTCGACCTGGGCGTCTTCCATCTTCGCTGGCCAGGGAAGCTGGAGAGCCTGGACCAGCTTCTTCTGTGAGCATGAAGGACGGCTGGAACAATCGAATGCATATTGCTTCAGCTGTCGCAAGCATACGAAGGCGGTAACCTTTCGTTCGGTGCGGTGGAACCTTGTAAACTATTCGGAAAGTGCGTTTCCAATCCACTTCATGGCCGGTGTCCACAATGTGGGCCAGAATGGCGCTACTAATGATTCCGATGCCCCCTTGACGAAGCCAGCGAGGGCAATGTTCGTTCACGCGTTTCGATAACTGCCGCGCCGTTCGACCAATATACGTCGCGCCACAGGCGCACACGAATTGATAAATCACCATTGATGTGGTCAGCATCGGCAGATTGTCCTTGTTTTGTGAACGAATGAGTGGTTCCGTTGAGAACACGCACTTCAACGACGCTGCTGGAAAGGTCGACTTTACCGCGGCCGAAAGGCTTCTGGTTAGACGCTCGGTAGCCGCGTCCCCTTTAAATGGTAAGCGAATAAATAATTCTTTCTTTGGCGTTGTTAACACTGCCACTGGTTTCGGTTTTTCTAGGAGGTTCCTTAGGATAAATCTATCGGGATAACCGTTTTCACGTAGAGTGTTCTGCATGAACATTAACTCCGCTTTATTCCTAACTGCGCGAGCGTTGTTCAACCAATGCCTGAATTGCTCCGCGGTGAACAACGGTCTTTTCATTTTGCAGACGACTCTAGACTGTCTTTTGAGAAGCTCAAAGACGCTATCTCCAACATAACGCTTCTCACCCATCCAGACACATCTGCACCACTCTCCCTGACAACTGACACATCCGACACTGCCGTCGGTGCAGTTCTTCAACAATTCATCGACCACTGGTGGATATCTCTAGGTTTCTTCTCGAAACGTTTACAACCCGCCGAAGCGCGTTACAGCACCTTCGGTAGGGAACTGTTAGCTATTTACCTAGGTATCAGACTTTTCCGTCACTATCTCGAAGGTCGACATTTTAGAGTCTTCACTGACCACAAGCCATTGATCTACGCAATCAATGGCGCAGCGGACAAGTATTCTCCGCGGGAAACTAGACACCTAAACTACGTTTCTCAGTTTACGACAGACGTACGACATGGCTCAAGTGTTCCCAATCCCGTCGCGGATGCGCTTTCACGCATTCAGCAGATCAGCTTATCGCCTGGCACCAACATTGATCTAGCCGCTATGGCTGCTGCCCAACAAGCTGATCCCGACATAGACGAGCTACGACGCAACACCTCGTTGAAACTACGCGAAGTTCCACTAGCTTCATCTGAGGGGACCATTCTTTGTGACGTTTCACAAACTTCTCCCCAACCCGTAGTTCCTACCTCGATGCGTTGACTAGTTTTCAACGCTTTACACAACCTGTCTCATCCCGGCATACGTGCTTCGCAGAAGCTCGTAATTGAACGCTTAGTACGGCCCAACGTCAATCGCGACGTGCGCCTTTGGGCACGCGCATGCTTAGAGTGTCAGCGCGCCAAGGTATACAGACACACCAAAAGCGCAATTGGCGTCTTTCCCGCTCCTGACTCTCATTTTGCGCACGTCCATGTCGACCTCGTCGGATCTTTGACTCCATGCAAAGGCTGCATGTACCTCCTCACTCGTGTCGACCGATTCACTCGTTGGCCAGAGGCGATTCCGATAGTCAACTGCTCATCTGAGACAGTTGCGCAAGCTTTCCCAAGCCTCACTGTCAACTTTGCTTGGCTCGACTATTGACGGTGATCTCGATTCGCAGTGGGCGCATATCAAAGATGCGTTAGCTTCCGCCAGTATCGACACTTGTGGAGTTACCCGTCACCCACCAAACAGTGGATTACCGCCGACTCCTTGTCGCTGATGGACAGACGCCGCTTGATCCCATCGGTTCCAGACCCGTTGAGTATACCAGGAAACTCTTCCATCTCCTTCGAGTCACCGAAGGTGCTCGATCTGGTATAAGTGAAACAATATGCGAAGCGGATGGCACCTTAATCACCAACCTTCAACGACGGTTGGAGCGATGGGCCGAACATTTTTGCTCGCAGTTTTGTTGGCCCCCAGCTCCATCTGCTACCTCTGGCGCTCGCGCTGGGGCCGAGTGGTCTACCCCAACAGACCCTCCCTCTTCCCAGGAAATCGAGCAGGAGCTCCGGCACATGAAGCGTTATAAAGCTCCCGGCCCTGATGGTCTTCACCCAGCTCTATTCAAAGATGGTGGCGCATCGCTGGTCCGAGAACTCACCGCTTTGTTCTCGAAAATTTGGTCGAAAGAGAAGGTTCCATCATCTTGGGGTGAATCGATAGTCGTACCCATCTTCAAAAAGGGCCTGCGCACAATCTGCTCCAACTACAGAGGAATAAGCTTAGTCCCCGTCGTTTGCAAGCTGCTGGTGTCCATCATACTTCGCAGGCTATCCCCAACACGCGAATCGTTGCAACGAGAAGAACAAGCTGGGTTTCGCCCTGGTCGCGGCTGCATCGATCAAATCTTCACACTTCGCCAGATCCTCGAGCTCCGCCATGTGTATCAGAGGCCAACGATTGCTGTGTTCCTGGATATCCGTGCAGCCTTCGATTCTGTCGATCGTACAGTACTGTGGCAGTGCCTTCTGAGGAACGGTGTCCCCGAGAAGTTCGTCTCCATACTGCGCGCTCTATACAGTCTGACCTCGGGCAGGGTTAGGGCTTATGGCATGCTTTCGCCTACCTTTGTGGTCTCCAGTGGAGTTCGACAAGGATGCCCTATCTCTCCGTTCCTATTCAACTTTGCCATTGAGGATGTCCTGAAGAACGCTCTGAGCGATTCGTTGAACGCTGGCGTTGAGCTCCTCCCAGGTAGTCGAGTTGTTGATTTGGATTATGCTGATGATATCGTCTTGCTGGGTGACGATCCACAGGTCGTCCAACTTGCATTAAACCGCTTGACGATTGAAGCATCAAAGTACGGTATGTACTTTTCGCCATCCAAATGCAAGGCTCTCCTTCAAGACTGGCAGGTGCCTCTGCCTGCACTCACGCTTGCTGGTGAGACACTGGAGGTTGTGGAGAGCTTTGTCTACTTGGGAAGTTGCATCACTGCTGGCGGGGCTATTGGAGACGAGATTTCGATGCGCATCTCGAGAGCACGCCTCGCTTTTTCTAGGCTGAGGCATTTGTGGCGTCGCCACGACATTCGTCTCTCCATCAAAGGGCGGGTCTATTGTGCAACTGTTCGTGCTGTACTGTTGTACGGATGCGAGACCTGGCCCATTCGTAAAGATGACTTGCGCAGGCTATCCGTCTTCGAGCACCGCTGTCTGCGGTCCATTGCCCGTGTGTGGTGGCAGCACCACGTAAGCAATGTGGAAGTTAGACAGCGTGTCTTGGGACGTGGAAGCCACTCGCTCGAGGAGCTCATCTCACTGCATCAACTGCGGTGGTTGGGACACGTATTGCGCATGCCTGTCCAGCGTTACCCCCGTCGTGCGTTGTTTGCACTTGCTGGACAGGGCTGGAAGAGACGGTCTGGTGGACAGCCTACAACATGGAGAAGCCGCATGAAAAAGTTGACGAAACAATTGGCCTCGGCCGGTTGTTGTCGACTACCTGGTTGGGGTCCGAGAGATGAGGATACTTGCTGGTTGAAAACCTTGGAAGTTATGGCTCAAGATCGATGTCAATGGCGGACGTGTGCATCAGTGTGTTGCGGTGTCCCTTCTTCCTCCCCCTAAAAAAGAACAAACTGAAAAAAATTTCAAAATCTGTGAGTGGTAAACTTGACAAAAAAAGCATTTCTTGTTGCTCTTTTCTTATTATTCATATTGTTTTCCTATTCAGCCATGATTCCGATGGCACAATATCTGTACCACAGATTGTGTATAATATATATATATAATATATATTTCCCAGAACGCTGGGTAGCTCAATTTGGTTGCCCAAGCGTAGTCATCACGGATAGAGGATCACACTTTGACGGATCCTTCAGCAAACTGCTCAACGTTCTTGGTTGCCAACATAACCGAACCACCGCATACCATTCGGCAGCTAATGGGATGGCAGAAAGGTTCCACCGGCAGCTCAAAGCATCACTCTGTGCCCAATCTAGCACATCCTGGCACGAAGCACTTCTACTCGTTCTCTTAAGCATAAGAAACACGATTAAAGCGGATTTGCACGCCAACCCATCGTCGCTAGTCTTTGGATGCATACAACGCTTACCTGGTGAACTCGTCTCACCAAAAGCGCCAACAACCTTCGAGTATGGCGACTACGCAGCTCGCCTCTCTCATCACATGCGACAGCTTCAGCCTGTGCAACCCAAAGCCTGCGTACCAACGTGGACGAACGCTTAACTATTTGTACGCACGCGTTCGTTCGCACTGACAGCGTACGCCGGCCACTTCAACCTCCTTATTCTGGTCTGTACCGTGTCGTACGCAGAAGCGATAAGACGTTTACCTTTGACTACAATGGTAGGATTGAGACGATCAACGTCAATCGACTCAAGCCAGCATTCCATGACAAGTCTGACTCTTCGGTGCAACAAGCACCTTCACAGCCTGCGCCATCACAGCTCACAACACAACCTCAGACGAGTCAGTTCGCTCCAGCAGAACCAACAACCTCAACCGACAGCACTCTTGCCCTACTATCAATCGACTCGGTAGGAAGCTCAAACCTCCAGTTGGTTAGCACTTAATATTTTACATAGAACGTGCCTCTGATATTTTCTGTTCTTACCAAACGTTCATGGAAATACAAAAAGAGATAAAAACGTTTTGAAACTATCAAAAAGAGCAAAACCTTTTGAAAACCCAAAAACAGCTTTGAACGTTTTAAGCTTTACACTCTTTTGTGTATTGGTATGCATTTATGCTGCTTTTTCATTTTGCTTTCCATATACACCGCCGCTTGGTTTCACCTCGTTATCACTTTTCGCTGGATCCCCGCACGTCAACTGGAAGTGGAACGAAGTTCCTGCTTAACTGCCTACGTGAACTTTACTAACTGCCCCCCCCCCACAAACAGTTTTTTTTACCGTTTCGACACCGTAGGGAGGACACGGGTGGGAGCCCGCTAGGGTCCGATTGCATGATCCTCCCCCAGCAGCTGCATCGGGTTTCACAACCTGGGCTCGCAGAAGGCTGGCCTGCGACGGACAGTCCTCACGTAGATCGAAGGCCTGCTTACATAGTCTCTTCTAGGAGAGGACCATGTAGCAGTCTGGAGATTCCTCGGTTTGCCTGTGTAAAATTCTAACTAAAATTATTTCACTGTACACCTTGGCAACCGGTGTGGTTTGTTGAACTGATTGCTGAGTTCGAATGTTTGACTTGCTCATCGCCATTTTTTGCTTGACGGTTGCAACTCGCTACTGCCCTGTGTGCTGTGCGTGCTCCGTTCCTCTAGCAAGAGCGTCCACGGTGTGGTTCCTTTATAGCTAGATATCAGGGATCTTTTACTGTACCAATAAAAGTTTCCATGCAACTCGATCTGTCTTTTTGAATCGCTCTCCGGGCTCCCGGTATAGGCGACTCCATAGGGGCCGTTTGTCCCAGTTACACGAGGGTGAAGAGATAGTAATAGCATACGCCTCACGAACTTTGTCGAAGACGGAAAGAAATTATTCTACTGGTGAAAAAGTAGCTTTTGTTTGCGTTTGGGCCTGGGAGTAGTGGCACTTTTACTTGTTCCAGCGTTCATTCGTTTTGCATACTGATCACTCTGCACTTACAACCCTACTGAACCGTGGCAATAAGAGTCAAAAGCGTAAGCTGCTGGTACTCGTGCCTACTAAATTACGACTATGAGATCAAATACTTACCGGGTAGTGCTAACTAGGTGGCCAGTGCACTTCCCAGGCTTCCACTATTAAACGAAGGCAGGAACCACGACTTAGATGAAATGAAAATGATTTCCCATATTTCAACCGGAGCACCCACGGCTATAACGCTCGACGGAATACGTGAACATACTGACGGAGATCCCAGCCTTGTGAAACTTAGGGAGCATATGCTTAATGTGTGGTCTAGTCACACTCGAATCCAACCGGAGTTAACGCCATACTATACTCTTCGCCACGAATTTTCTATAGTAGGCAATTGCATTATCAAAGGCGAAAAAGTCGTGATACTTCCTAGTCTTCTTCCAGCGGTGTTCGACTGTGCGCTTGACGGTCATCCCGGTATTGTGCGAACGAAGGCAAGAATACGCGAGCACTACTGGTAGCCGAAGTTAAATTCCAGTGTTGAGGTTGCAGTTCAAGAGTGCAATGCTTGCCAATAATCCGACAAGAGTGCGAAGCCTTTGGAATCTCCAGTTCAGTCAATTGCGTATCCTATGAAGCCTTAGGCTAAAATTGCCATCGATATCATGGGTGCATTTGTCAAGGTACATGCTCAGAAACGGAACGTGCTGACTGTCACTTGCTTTTATAGCAAATGGCCAAAAGCCATCCTATGCGGAGAAGTAACTACAGGATTCATTAAAAGTGGCTTCAGCATTTATTTGCAAGGTATGGGCTGCCAGAAGAAGTTCTTACTGATAATCGGCCCCAGTTTAGAAGTAACGACTTTGCCGAATTCCTTCGGAGCAATGGCATCAAACACGTCAGAACGGTGCCTTATAATCCGGCTGCCAATAGAATGGTTGAACAACTAAATCGGACACTGAACGAGTCCATGCAACTCTTTCAGCTCTCGGGCGAATCTTGGGAGGATGCCTTGGTATCAGCTCTAGCTACGTACAGAACCACACCGCATACAACAACGGGCAAAACTCCATCAGAACTGAGGCTGGGAAGAGTAATTTGGACCCGGCTAAATGCAGTATATAAATTCTAAGAAATTACGGACCCTGTTGAATACAAAAGACGAGCTGATTACCAATCTAAATACAGACAGGAAAACTTGCCCTCCAGGGACCCTAGTTCGTGTGAAATTACCCAGTTCCCGGAAGGGGGATAACAGATTCGGACCTCCTACGCTAGTGGAATCTGTGTATACGCCAGGAACAGGAACTAGCAGATGGGGCGCGAGTTAATGCGGAACCTTTGCATACGGCACTTTCGCAGAGTACTTCTCCACGAGAGACTACATCTACTGCAAAAACATCAAGAACAGCAGAAAGCCTGCGAGTGTCAAGTCAGATGCGTCGCCCTGTCGACCGCTATATTTTGACGGGCAATTCAAAGTGATGTCTGCTCCATGTGTATGTTCTTTACTACCTTATGCAAGCAACCGCTTGCACACTGACACGAAGTGATTACATAGTTACAAACAGAGGACGGGACAGTGTGGTGTTGTCATAGTACTCCCTACTATTTTTCATAGCTATCGATTGGTCGCGAATCATATAATTCAACTAATTCATCATCGCCACTCCAATCAGCAGGCTTAGGCTAGTCTGGAAAAGCGCCAGATCCAGAAGGTCGAAACGTCGGCGTCTGGTGATTTTCCAGACTAGCCTAGGTCTGCTGATTGAGAGTGGTGATGATGAATTAGCTGAATTATACCAAAATGCTCACTACTTATCAGCACGTGAATCATATGCCCACTTAGCGGTTATTGGTCGAATGCGTGCTTGCTGCCTATTGGCTGTGTGAATGATTTAAGAGTCTAAACTGTTGTTACGAATTGATTGTGTCCATACATCATTTCAGTCTACCAAATTGCTCTTCTGCTTTCACGGACACAACAGGGACATGTCAAGCTTCGTTTTTTTATCCGCAAATATACCATTGACCGTTGTGATGCAATACTTGACATGGTATTTGTCAACAACCTGAAGGGGTTTTCTGTTTGTGATTGAGTGCCATCGTGAAATTATCTATTGGAAGATTAACCATAAAAATCTCATCTGTTGCAAAGATCGAAAGTTCAGGCGGATACAATGCCTTCCTGCTACGGACAGTCAGTGTTCAGGCCGAGAGCAGTAGCGCAACAGTGGATCGATCTACAATAAGAGATCGAACGCGAGATAAAAATATGGATCTATGTGAAATCAACGGCCAGTCGGACCATGAACTTGAACCACTTGATTTGTGTTAATTAATATTAATTAGCATCTCCAATTTTGTCGTGTTAGTGATTTCCTACAACTTAATTATTGCGTCATGCTCTCAGAAAATAGAACCAGAATCCGAAACTCTCGGCTCAGCTGCTCTAGGCGTTCTCTTTTCGTGCAAGTTTGAACTGATTGAGAACGGTACAGCTCATTCAGACACGTTATCCTTATATTTCTGGGGGCACTAAAACACTTCTCCAGAACATTCAGCGACTACCTGAAAGCATTGCCTCCACAGATTTTAATTTATTTTACAATGCCGGCATATTGAAGTATTGTGACCAGTTAACTAGTTACTTAAACGTCTGGTTTTGTTCTGGCTGTTCAATCAAAAACAATTTTCATCCGTGCCTATTCTCGTCTCAAGCGACTGCGTCGGTTTAAAGACTTTTAAACGCAAAGATAATCCATCAGTATAGTTGTCGCCACAACCGTATCTATGTTCAAATCATACTTGGAAACAACAATACGGAAATTGCTGCGACAGTTAATCGGAGTCACCCACGAGGTCGCATCCAACTGGAGGTGGAAGAACTAAACCTCCATTTTTGTGGCCACGATAGTACTTCATTCTTCGATATATTCGCTGCTATTACTACTCTCAGACAACCCACCTACTATAAATAGCCCAAAAGTGCACAGGGAATTAGTCAGGTTGCAACTGAACAAAGCAACCGGTCGAATAAGCTGCCTACTGTAGTTCTCAACGAATGTGCAAGTTATCTGACACAGCCTCTCGCCGATTTGTACACATTGTGCCTCAAGCAACACAATGTAGAGCAGATAGTTGGCGAAGTGCAAGCATCACGCCGGTGCCAAAGTAAGGAACTTGCAAACATCGGCCAATCGCCTGTACGTCGGTTGCTATGGAGTCTTTTGAGATGATTATCCTTGAAAGAACTTCAGCCCAGATGCATTTGGGTGACACTCGTCAGTATGCATATTGCAGCAAGATCCAACTTCGATTAAGTGGCATGTCTGATACATATCGTGATTTCGTCAACGCATCTACTTCATGAATTTTAGCAACGCTTTCGCTTGCGCGAACCGTGAACTGCTGTTACTCGATCTATCAGCTTCTGGAGTTCAAACATCGCTGTCACCTACCTGACTGGTCGCATAGTAAACGTGCTCTCCAGTGTCACAGAGTTCCACATCTTCCACTTCACGTAGCGCAGTCATCATACACACATTCGAATCGGGTTAACTCCCCATGTTCAGTGGGCGCATTTTACGGAAGTATCTCCTACGGAAAGGGGTTTGTGCTACTCAAGTTGTTTTGACGCGGTTTGTGCTTCTATCCAGACGCACCACTCTGTTGTTTTTTAACAGTTTTCACTGCTGCGATATTATGATCGATCAAGGATTCTCCGCGCTATCTAGTGGTCCTAGAATTACATTGATAGGATCATCCTTAACGAAGCTACGACTCAACCTGTGGTTTCAATTGCGTTCGCCCATCGCCGGCACTTTCCGCTGTCAGACACCAAATACAAGCCACTTCCAACGGCTTTATCCTACACGAACCAGCGTGGATCAGTAAGCTAGCCAAACTCTGTGTACCTGTGTCCTCGTTGTGCACACTCATCTACGGTAACCGATGTCGAGAGTGCGACTGGGGCAAAGAACGCGAGCGTCAATCGACCTCTACCTCAGGTGATCAGACAAGGGCAGCGTTCGTTTGCAACAACGGCTCTCAATGGAACTGATTCCACCTAACTGCAAATGTGGGAAGCAGGAGTGATACCATCACTTAAGCGAGACATTATTTGTGCATTTTGTGGCCTTCCGTTCCACCCTCTCTGTGCTGGTTTAAGTCAACTACAATACAAGAGACAAATCGACCTGACTGATTCGCTCTGGTTTTCACAAACATGCAAAGCAATCCCAATAGTCAGATGTATAATATCGCTCGAGAAACAGTGTGGAAAACTAACTGAAACAGTCCAGCAGATGGCGAGCTCCAGGGCTTTGCCATTAGAATCTAGCAACACCGATCTTGTTCTGCAGCAAATTCATCAAGACTAAAGTTAGGCTTGCTAATTGCCCGACGGCATCTGCGCCACTTACTCCGACAATTACTAACCTCTTAGGTAGGCAAGACACATCCAGTGCGTCTACTATTAACTCATTCCTAGACGCCATATCTCAAGGGTTGGTCACAACACCGACATCAACAGTAGAGAGCAGGGTGACATATGCATCGTTCGACTCGATAAAAACGCCTAAAGAGACAACTGTAAGTCCATTTTCTGGACCAAGCGCGAGCTATGCGACGGCGAATTCACAACGTTCTTTAGTGCCTGCCAAACAATCCAAGTTAACAGCCACAACACACAAGCCAATATTCGCTAAACAGAACCACAGTGCGTTAGCGGTCGTGTGCACTAACATTCCTGAGTCAAGTTCTGGCGCAATAAAGAGCAAGTTGGTAGATGATCGCAACGAGTGGCATTCCATCTGCGATGTGATTGGTATTCAGGTTGACCCAACGGCTAAGACGTGTAGCGCGTCCCCCAAATTCAGTACACTACGGCGAACCTCGATTACTTCGAGTAACCTTGAACTCAACTAAGGAGACAGTGATATTCCTACTGTCAGCAGTTCATCTTCGCAACTCATCGAGCGGGGTACGCATACTACCAGATATTCCTTGGAAAGGACGGTCAAAGTAAAAAGAAAACCATGGCGGTCCTTCTACGAACGAAAGCAAGAAAACCGTAGCTGTTCATGGTGTTCTTGAACTACTGGGCTCTCCTGATCACGAAGCGCAAAAGGTTGACCGAGAGCAGTGGTGCTACCTCCGCGAAGCACTATCTCTGGACCACATTATCGCTAAATCACTAACGAGAATTCCTTCATCTCAAAACTACAAGGGCTGCGGTCCAAAAATATTGAAAGTGGTGCTACACTCCGATGGAATGACAGAAGTCCTATTGAATAGCTGGTTAAAGCATCACTCCAGGTTGCCTACCAAGGTTAGGCTAAAGATAGCAGGCGTACGGCCACTAGTTGTCAACACTTCATTGGAACACGCAACCACAATAAAATATTTGCCTTTACAATCCTACAGAGTTGTAGATAATATGCCATTAGAGACACCTGACGAGACAGGGAGACACAAGATAACATCTTAATCTGGGATGCTTCAGCATGCAGTTCAAAGCCTGTTTACAAGAGGTAATTTCCAGCTACCCTCTGTACAACCATGTGACCTCTCCCACCAGATTTCGAACTGCTAATAAACCATCGATACTTCATTGTGTTCTCATCAACGAAGAACCCATGGTCGACAGAATAATTACAAGCACACCAATTGGTCGCAGTGACCATGTGACTCTATTGTTCAATGATGCATGTTATGCGGAATATCCTGAGGAAGAGGATGATAAAGTGTATACGATCACACACTACAACGTGTTATCCGCGCTTGTTAAGGAGGTATCCTGAACCTTCTTAACTGAGTGCCCCCCAGGAATCGCCTGGGACACTTTCACAAAGACATTCATCACACTGGTAACGCACGCGTCAGAGCAGAAGTGCTTACTTCATTTCTAAGGAGCAAAACACGCAAATGCATATCCTTGAGGGACTTAGCATGGAGAGCTCACAAGGACTCCCCGAATTCCGAAATCTGGACTGCTTATGTGGCACAGCATAACTTCTGTGTGAGTTTGACCCGGGATGACAAAGTGACGCATCAGCAGGAGTTAATGAAGGGATTCTGCACGAACCACAAACTCTTATACAGACATGTTAATGACCTTCGTAAGGTGCAACGCGGAATTCCAGCATTGATCACGACTGACGGATGCACGCGATCAGCAACGGAAGCAGCCGATCTGTTATGGTTCCATTACTCACAAACGTTCCAGAGAGTAACGGACCAAACGGTTATCACTGTTTCTATTGTCCCACCATCAGCTTTATCCATTATTACTTTTACTGCAAAGTGTGTCAAAGAAACTGTTGTCCCTGTGTATCCACAGCTATCCTGGTGTCGATAACATTCGACCGAAGGTTTAACAGGCAGCAGCCAGTGATCTGGCGGAACCTCTGGCTATATTCTATCAGCGCTGTATGGAGGAGAACCATATTCCAACAATATGGAAGCGAGGGGTAGTCACTGCTATTCATAAGAGAGGTAGTCGCACTGACCTAACCAATTACCGTCCTATAACGCTACTACCTGAGCTTTTCAAGGTTATGGGGTCTATCATCGCTGAAGCACTCATGCAGTATCTGGAAAATCACAAGATGATAGCACTTGAGCAACATGGCTTCCGACAAAAGCGCTTATGCACTATGAACATGCTGATTACACGCAACAACTGGTGATGGTGGAGCAAGAGTCGATCTCATTTACTTGAACTTCTCAAAAGCGTTTGATCGCTTAGACCAGCAAATTCTCCTCCATAAACTTCAGCTCTATGGCGTTGCTGATCCACTGGTGCGTTGGATAGGCAATTTCCTGCACGAACGTCGGTTGGACGTGAGAGTACGAGAATCCCTGTCTGAGGCAACTGAGGTGAAGGGCTGCGTAACACAAGGCTCCTGCCCCGTCTATTCATGATTTTCATAAACGACCTGGCGAGGTAATTTACTTCCGATTTCCTATTCTTCGCGGATGATATCAAGTTATAGCGAGTGATCAAAGAACCGAAGGACCACGAAAAGCTCCAGCGTGGCCTCAAGACGATTGCAAACTGGTCAGTTCTGAATACACTACCGTCCAACGTGGAAAAATGTCATATTGTTCAATTGCGCCATAGACATGACTACCTGTATCGGCTTGGGTTACATGTCTTGCAAACCACTTCCCAAGAACGCGACTTCGGTGTGCTCATTCCAAGTGACCTTAACTGTTCAAAGCAGTCAAAGGCAGCCGTGAAGAGAGCCAATCAGCACGTCGGTTTGCTGCGGAAAGCATTCGGAAGATTCGACCCATCCATCTTCCCCATAACGTGCAAATCTTACGTGCGTCCGCACGTTGAACACGCCATCCAAACTTGGCAAGCTTGGTTGAAGCGCGACTTAGAAGTGCTAGAGAAAGCAAAACGTAGGGCCACAAAGAACCTCAGGGGCCTACGAAATCTGTCCTACCATCAAAGGCTGAAGTCACTGGGAGTTTTCAGTGGACGTCACCGAATGCTGCGCGGCGATCTCATATTAGTCTACCAAATATTCAGTGACCCTAATCACTTGTTGAAACTCAGTCATAACATCAATCTCAGAGGTAACCCTGTAAGATTTTGTGCACAGTTTAGGCGTCTGGAGTGCCGGGGGAATTACTTTTCTCCTCGAGTTTGCCAACCCTGGAACTCTTTCCCAAACTTCGCCGTTAGATGCATTTTTCTTGACATCTGTAGCCGCATTTATTCATTGATCTTGACCGTTCAAACACCTTAGAAATCAATTCCAGCCCGATTTGGCGCTTACTCCACACAATCAGGGTTATGTGAACGTTTGGGTCTGACGAAAGTTTACCGAAAAGTATTCTTGACCCTGAACTGATTTCTGGTCGTGATTCATCTGAATGCAATGGGAATATTTTCTTTGCTGCAAATCAGCATTGCCCGTGATTCGTTGAAGATTCTCAAAAAGACGATTGGATCTTGCCCTTGGCCCCCATCACTTTGTTGCCTAAACTGTGCTACGTTGGTATGTATATTAATTATCCCTCCAAACCGGATTAACATGTTACGTAAACCTGAGGAGGCGGTGTAGAAATGAATATTTTACTTCTCCCAGGCATTACGTCAACTATAACTGTCCCTATGTTGCCTCGTCGTTCGCATTCAATTCCAACTTGCACTACTATTATTCAGCAGTGTATCTGCAAGATAAACGCTCAGACAAATAACCTATCTTTTGATAATTATAGTCTTACCCCCACCATTGTGCGAGGTTTGTCTATGAACTGCATAAATCATTGTTCAGATTGCAGGTGTAATCAAGGATTTATCTATCAATCTGTACTTTTCAACGGATTCCCAGCTGGTTCGCATCTAGGTTCCGCAATAATGACAGAAAGGATCTGGGCAGTCAGTTAGAAGTCTATGACCAGAAGTGCTGTGGATCCCGTTGGCAGAACTGGCGTCACCAGAATAATTGGGCTCGGAACAGCTATGATAACAGGTGACTTGTTCGAACTCCAGTTTATAGTGATGCTATCTGTTTGAGTTGCGGTATGTGCTTGTGGATACCCGAGACACTAAGGTCCGCATACTCGTGTACACGTGCAGGGAGTGCTCATTGCTCGTTTCATCGGGAACTTACATATTCTAGGAGAGTGAACTCGGAGCAAAACATGGACTTTGTATTTGGGACATGATCTGCGGGTTTTGAATTACCGTGTGTTGGATTCTACCTTTGTTTCGGGATTACGGTGTTATACGTGTTTTTCTGTGTGAATTGTGCACAAAGATTTTTGGAAATTATTGAGAATACCTGTTTGGTGCATTTTTCAATCAGTGGAAATATGATGGATACTCTCTGGCTAATTTCGGAGATCTCACTGATTGGCCCAACTACCGTCTGTGTTCATCTTGGATTGTTCTACCTTATGATGCAGTCTCAAGCCACATGTAGTTCGTGATCGAAAGTTGTTCGGCATAAGGCTCATGCATTTCGGCTGCGATGTTTTGTTCCATATTTCTTTATTAGTTTATCCGTTGACGCATAACTCCGCACTCGGCATCTTGTTTGGACCTAAGGTTTACGAACTGCTAGCGGAATCTGAAAGTGGTCAGAGTCTTCGAACCTCTAGCGAACAGTGACCACTGCTCCATTGGGGCGAGCACCAAAATTCCCCTTACCGTATTACAGCCAACGGAAGTCGACATTCAACTATTGGAAGACGGACTTCAACGGGCTCGTCCATACCGCGAATCAGACTGATTGGACACTACCACAGGTTGCATCGCTTGAGACCTGTTGATCAATAATGTAGGAGGAGGTTAACTCGCTGTGTACTCGGTTCGTTCCCCTGAAGTATGAAAAAGTCAGAACTGTCAAGCCGCATTGGTTTGATAAGGAATATAAACAGTTAGCGTGACGACGTCGCAAACTTTGGGATAGATACATCATCACAGGTTGTGATGAAAATTACGCGGTATACAATAAGCAGCGTAACATATGTAACGCTGGCAGTTCGAAAAGGAGCTAGCACCCTAGGCTACAACCGCCCCCAAGAGAATGTTTGTTTACTTGAAACGTCAAGTGAAACTTGCGGGCGACTTACCGGTCTTAGAGAGTTTGGACTAAGTCGTTCATTATAAGCGCGGAACACCCGGATGCATTGGCTTCACAATTCCCCACCGTATTTTCCGGTAAACCGGCGGTTGTTCTGGCGCCAACACAGATTACGCCAGTCTTACTCGATAGCCTACGATGTGATGCAGACGAAGTGTATCAGCTACTAGTCAACCTAGATGGTACAAAGCCCCCCGAACCAGACCGACTTCACCCAATAATACTTAACTTCCTATCGAATGTCATCTCACCAACCGTGACAAACCTATTCAATAAATCACTCTCTGAAGGATCTGTGCCCAACAACCTGAAATGCTCGATAGTCAGACCGCTTCCAAAGGGTCATGGTCCGAGTAAATTAGAGAAAGTAAAGACCGATCTGTTTGATTTCGATATTGTCCAAAGTTCTCTAGAAGACAGTGAAAAGTGTCTGCTGTCGTTCTTCGAATCGATAGACGTATTGAGGCCAAAATCACCAACTTAACGTACGCAAACCACCAGTGCGTACGAGCTCTCAACGAACAGAAGTATGTTGACGTGGTGTACATCGACTTTAGTAAGGCGTTTGATAGAGTGAACCACAAGGTACTCCTTTGTAAACTGAGGACCTGCGGCACATTACTTCAGTGGTTACACGAGTTTATTGTGGGATGAAAGTTTAGAGTGCGAGTCAATGACTACCTGACAGACTGGTTCCCATCAACCAGCGACATGCCTCAAGAAAGTGTACTTCGGCCAGTATTATTTCTTATTCATATCAACGATCTTCCGCAGCAGCTCCAGTCACCCTGTGCCCTGTTTGCATATGATTTCAAAATCTGGAGGATCATCGAGAACCAGGACGACTGTGCACGCCTCCAACATAACTTAGGTCGATTGTCAACGTGGTCCACTGAGATGCAACTCCCATTTAACGCGAACAAGTCGGAGTAGATCAGTATCACCAGACGTGCAACCACTCGATCATACATCTTGGACGGCTAGTTGCTCCACCCCAACACATCTATCAGAGTCTTGAGAGTGCTCTCGCGACATGATATAAGATCACTAGGAAATACAGAGAAACTGTACTGTACGGTACTTCGTATGCTCTGGGCATTAGGACGCTGTTTCTCCACACGGTCTGAAGAAACCGTCGCCTATTCACCTCGCTCATCAGACAAATTCTTGAATACGGTGCCCCAACTTACTATTCGATAATCAAGTGGAAAACGGAAAAGCTACAGAAAATACAGCACATCGCAAGTAGAATGATTCAGTCTACGAAAGCTTCGAATGAAAAGAGTGAAAGGCTCAGACTCGGAACTCTTAAATACTGTGTCGATTCATAGCTGCCATAACCGGAAAGTCATGAAGCCGGAAGGCTAACCGCTATCATCTGCATGACAGTGGAGGATGAGTCGGGCTATATCGCAGTTAGCTAATAATTCATGATAGTCGGCTACCGTCTCCCATGACTCAGTAGCATAAGATGCGGTCTAGTTGGAGCAAGCCACTAGCAGTCACGGGTTCGATCTTCGCCCCAACAGGGTGAAATGGCCAAATGGTGCCTTTCCGAACTGGTAGTTGAGTTAGGTGAATTGTCGACTGATTGCGACGACACACACATACACTATCCTACCGCCGAGTACGAATTGACCTTATTGTGACCCATCGAATACTACACCTGAATCAGTTCCCATACTGCGGCCAATATGTCAACTGTGGGAAACTGTAACGATTGAGGACACCGTTACAAACTCAAGGTCCCATGCATGAACAGGATATCTCATGAACTTCCTGTAGAACGAAGAACCGTGAACTTATTGAATACACTACCAGAAGGAGTAATAGAGGCCGACTCTGTGAAGGGTTTCAAAACACCTATCGACGATTATTTCGGAAATCTGTGCGTTTCTCAAACGGTGCACATACAATGCAAAAGTACATCCTATAGCCGGAAATAATGACGACAATACGAACTCCTAACCTAACAAGAATAACGATTAACTGACCAAACACTGCCGCTAACGATCAGCAATTAAATTTTTTTGCTTTTTCATAAATCGACAGACATGTACAGAAACATTTATACTTGCTCTTGAATAAAGTCTCAGTCTATCGTCTGGTAAAGTAAGCTTCTTGATTATAACCAAGGAAGGGGCGGCCTCAGCGGTCTACATTTCATCTAACTTTTTTCCATAGCCTTTGTTGTCAAATGTGAGGTCTGTATGCAGCTACGCCACAGTCAGGAGCCAACGGCGGTATACTTCTGAGGGTATATCAAATGTATCGAAGTTGTATCAAAGAGCGTCATGTAAGTTACAAAACGGTTTTATTTACTACCGCTGGATAAACTAAAGCACCAGGTTCGACTTCGAAGAAACGGTCTTTGGCCGATCTGTGTATAATAAGGTGAGAGGCGCACGATTTCATACAAACCGGAAGAGTATAGGACAATGGCGAACGTGGATCAGACGTCTTTCGGTATCGGTCTATTTTTGTACACCAACTTTCGTGATTTAATGTTGCTCCAGCGTTTCCTCTTCGACACACCCACGATTATCAGTCCAAGGGTCAAAACGACCATGGTCTAGGGGTGTGGAAAAGAAACATACGTAGACATGAGTAAAGCAAAGGTGCAGCTCCATCGAAGGATTAATTAGAAAGAGCTGATGAAATAGTGTACAAACGGACGGCAGATCCGTACAAACAAGCTAAGATAACCTCTAATAAAGATCACGCAAGATGTGTCTCGCTTTGCGGATTGAGGGGAAAATATTACATAACTCAAGCATCACAAAACTTCGATTGGTACCAGCTCCAAGAATATCAAGGCAATCAGCTTACCAAAAAGAGTGACGTCGAACATGATAAAAATCTTTTGTCGATTACGGTCATAAAGCCACTTCACACTTCCAAACTGATTGTAATAAAACATCTTGGCAAAGTGAAAAAGCATCGCGTTGGTTGGAAAGTCGGTTTCAGATGATGTCCTTTGAAGAAAATGCAAACAGCACTCATGCTCTCCAGCAATGCGCATTCACTGCTGGGAAAAACTGCTGATGTCACAGCCCTCATGCAGCGAAAATACCGTATATTACGGAATAGGATAGGCCGGCAGTATAATCTGCAATATCACATGTGTAGAAAGTGGTAAGTCCCTATAATAGCCGACCTTGTAAATCAGCAAAAATAGAAACGAAATTGTTTTTCCACGATTCGGACATCATCACTACCTATTCGCGCTTGAGTGTATTCAGCGAAACGCTCTATTATTGGTCAGTTGTGGTGACTGTAATGTAAAAGCGATTTGATTCGCTACCCAGAATGGCATTAATGTGACGTCACATGATCCAGCCGGGGGGGGGAATGTGCGTTGATTTCGCACGATCATCCAAAGCCGGGGAAAGGTGAAAGGATGTATCACCAGAAACGACGCACATATGCTGTTGGATTTAAATTGAACATTTTCGCGTTTTCCGAGCAATCCAATGAATGTATAGCAGTACACCATTTCAATGTGAGTGTAAAGGAAATGAGAGAATGGCGAAAGAAAAAGTTATAACTGTCACTAATGCCCGTGGACAAGGAAGCAACACACGGTAGAAAAAATACAGTTCCGGCACTGAAGGAAGTTATTGCATTGGATTATGGAGCGACGGGAAACGTCACGAAAAAATGAGGCACTTCAAATTCCCGTATGGAATACTATCCGTCACTAGCGGGTGATGTTAAGGGGAAATTGGGACAGTGTACAGTGAATTCCTGTGTGGATTTTGCATGTGAATTTTTTCAAATTGCGGCCTATAAGCCGACCCCCACTACCAAAATGAAAAATTGTCCCAAAACTATCGGCTTATTTTCGGTAATATACAGTATTAAAAATATTATTACGTTACAAGAACGCTTATTGTACCCTGATATTGAGGATGGAGTAATTTAACACCAGTGGATATTGTGCAATTAGGTCGATCGCTCAGGTAAGTCAAGAAATAGTGGTGACAGCGTCATTGCATATGTTAACCAATCCTGGTGCAACTCCGTCACCCAACAATTCACCCACTCTACAAGCTGTCATTTACTTGAATCCAAGCCTAGATTTCTCAGTAGCTTTCAGTCCGTTGTTATCGGAAACTACTATACTGGCCCTGACACATCCGTCCAAATTGAGCCTTTTATTTGTGCAACTTCCCACGATATTAATGCAAAAACTAGAATGTGCTGCCTGCACGGTTACCGGTGATGTTAATAAATGTGATACAAAGTTTTTCGAGTCACCTGATCCGGTAAATTTAGTAACTTTCCCGACCAGACAAGGCGCACAGCTTGAAGTTGCTTCCACAAGCAAAATTCGTTTATTTCCCATTCAAAAGCGTGCACCACTGAGTAACTCGGACCATTGCATGCAAAACACTTGTCTTATCATTTACATTAGAACGAGCTAAGTTGCACTGAGGAAACCACCTGTCAAGAGTATCCGAACTCGTAAATACTCGGCGGAAAATATCGCACGATTTCAAGCGACGCTTTCTTCAGTTTTTATAGATGAATATCTATCGTTTCAATGCGATCATCTAACGAGTTGCTTAAGTTTATGCTTCCACCTGTGCTACCCTACCGAAAGGATCTACCTGCGAACAGACAGATTTCCTTCACCCCTGCTGAAACAACTCCGAAGGAAAAAAGAACAAACCTACAGGTTTAAAATGACCACCCGCGTCAAGAGCCTCACTTGGGTAATTTAAGCTGAAATAACAAGGCCAGACAGTTTGCACACTGAAACGGTACTGGGAAACCGTAGCCGCTGGGATCTCTAGGAGCTGCTGAAACAAATATGTAGTAAAGGTACCGTCGGTTGTACTGGATGTTGACAAACTCATTTCTGAGATTAGTTCTTGTCTGTCGAGCGCTTTTCCACTGCTCTCCTTCACTAGCGCAGACCCAGCCACCCTATTTGATCAAGGTGATGCTAACAGAGAACACAAAAAGAGTAAAGTCAAATAAAGCCCGTATCGTTGGTGGTTTATTATGTGTGATTTTAAAGCAGCGCGCCATTCATCTTACATTGTTTTTGACTGATATTTCTAACAAGTGTCTCACGACCGGCATCTGGGGATCAATCGGAATAACGCCGGTTCCGAAGCAGTAGGCACAAAATATCGGTCAACTGCTAGTAATTCCGTGCGCTTAAAAGTACTCGAAAAGCTACTAGTTTCACGGCTACTCATCCTGACGATGTCTATTAGTTTGCCTTTAGACCCCAGTGCTCTAGGCTAGATGCTGTCTCATACCTTATGCATTCAATAGCGACTCCAGTGGAAAAAAGTGCAGGTCCGCATGGTTTCCTTTTCGTGATCGATCTGCGCAGATCAACCTACTTTATTTGAAGGGAGTCCACCCTGATGCTTGCAACTTGTTGCGCATTTAGTTAAACGGCAAAATCTTTTCTATGCTCCGCGCTAATTGTGGTGTTTTGCAGGGCGCGATCCTCTTACCCATTTTATTCTCTTTATTTGTCGAAACCGTCCCTATACTATCAACAATTATTGGATGTAAACATGCTGACGATATTGTCTTAGTGTACATAGCTCTCTCCATTGAGACGTCTACGCTTCAAGGTCCTGTAGACGCAATGGTGAGCTGGTCGTCAATCAGATCGCTTAACTTTAATGCTTTGAAATGTACTGATGTAAGATTTTCATTTTTCCGCCCCGATAAATTGAGAGTAATTTCAGATGTCTCTCCTCTATTAACTTTAACACTAGAACGCCCGCTTAGCGTTGTTATATATGCATGATTTCTACATTCGGAAATAATTTTCAAAGATATGTCATGAGTTTTAACACTTTTGTTCGTACTTTGGAACTGTAAAGTTTCACTTTGATATCTGTTATAGTTTTGAGAAAAAGGAGAGTTGTGTTCTCGCTACCAAGAAAACCCGTAAGCGGTCATAATCATCGCATTCCTCTAATTCGGCTTCCGTTTTCCTATCGATATCGCTGACTATGAACCCACAAACTCTAGCGATGACTCGGTAAAACAGGACCTCTATCGTCAACTGAACGAACTCCTTAGCCACAGAAGAAGCTCGGACACTGTAGTGCTAGCTGGGGATCTGAACGTTCAAGTTGGAAAATTATCCACTGATGAACTGCATCTGGGCGGCCAACATGGTATAGGCTCCCGTAATGATAACGGTGAGCGGTTACTTCATTTGTGTGAAGATGCTCGCTTATTTCTTGAGAGCACTAATTTCAGACACAGCACCCGCCGGAGGGTGACTTGACGCCCACCAGCCTCGAACCAGCCATGGACGCAAATCGATCACATTGCGATAAGTTACCGATGGAGAGGCTGCGTCCAGAACTGCCGCTCTATTTGGAGCACAGGTGTAGACACCGACCATGCGCTTGTATGTGCTGACATGCGGATGCGTTTTGGCGGACGCCCACGATGACATTGTGAGCGCATTGACACCAGCCAACTGGCTAAACCAGCAGTTCTGAATGCCTATCAAAGTACGCTGACATGCGAGTTGACTAAACGCTCACTGGTCTCATATTCACCACTCCTTACTAGCAGCAGGAAAATCCTCATGTGGTATGTCTAATCGCCATAATGGACATTGGGTCTCTTCGCAGTCTCTGGAACTTATTGATGCTCGCCAGCATATTCCGGCTAGAAGCGAACACAATGAAACTCACAAAGAGCTCCGGGCAAAACTCCTTGCTAGCTTGAAGAGAGACCGCGAATCCTGGTGGTCTCATCGTGCAGCAGACATGGAAATGTCCGCTGCCCTTGGTAACCATCGTAAGTTATTCCGGCTGTTACGGGAAACGGGAAGCAGGAGACCTGGTGTTAGTGAAACTATACGAGACGAGAGTTGGCAGCCTATCCACAACTTGTCAAAACGCTTGGAGCGTTGGGCTGAGCACTATGAAAGGCAATTTAATCGGTCGGAATTGTTAGATTTCTTGCAGGCTACTGATCGCCCCGCTCCCTGAGCTGTTCCTTTGGATCCACCCTCACATTCAGAAGTCGAACGTGACATCGGACTGTTGGAGTTAAATAAAGCCGCGGGACCAGATGACCTCCATCCAGCCCTCTTCAAATTCGAAGAGCCCGCAATTTTGGACAATTTACATCAGTTATTAGTGCAACTGTCCTTACCGATTGGAGCCGCTCCGTCATAGCCCCAATTTGCAAGGGAGGCTCACAATTGGAATGTGGCAGCCATAGTGGCATCAGTCTGGTCTCCATCGCCTCCAAACTGCTTGCCTCTGCCATCTTTCACAGACTAGCTGGCACTCGTGAAACTCACATTCGTGAACAGCAAACCGGATTTCGTCGAGGTCGTAGCTGCATTGACCACATCCTCACTGCATCAGTTGTTGGAGCACCGTCACATATATTGGAGGCCCACCGTTGTCATGTTCCTCGATATCAAAGGTGCATTCGATTCCGTGGATAGACGTGCACTTTGGGATTGTCTACTCAGGAAAGGTGTACCTGAGAAATATGTAAATATTATCCGATCATTATACGCGCGTAGCACGGGCAGAGTGAGGGCATATGGCAAGCTGTCGTCGC